GCTGCCTTTAAAGATAAAGTTATCAGGTTTTGCATTCCTAATTATCTTGATCCAGTCATTAAGTAGCGCAAAGTCCTCAAGCAATCGTTATCGATAATTTACGAGTTCAAAGTCGCCAAAAGGGGTTATCCTTGGAATAGTTTCGCATCTCTTCGTTTACTATGTCTTATGTGACATAGAGAACGAAGAGATAAGAAGAAGAAGAGATCATAGAAAACGGAGATATATAAACTGTGGACAATGCAGTTATTGAGGATTTGATGTCGCCTGCCACTAACCAATCGTAAGGTCAAGACAAGTTGATTTGCCTGTTGTAACTCAATTTGACGGGTATGCCGCTCTCATTCTACTTGCTATCATTAAAAACTTCCACTAGATACAGGTGAATGCCTGGCATTCACTACTAACAATGTGCCTACGGAGAAGTCAGTTGAAAGACGTTTCATTCGCGCATATTTGCTTTCGTAGGGCTGGTTTAGTATGATGCTGTAGTAGGAGGTTTTGAATATCTGCTCAGACCAGAATCTGAGATTATGAGCTAGTCACTATTATCATCTGCGTTGTTCCAGAGGGAAGCTGCGGTCCAAAATCGAAATTGAAAACATTCAATCTGGAAGGCATTGCCGACTTCATAAATACAGAAAAACCACGAAATATTATTGTCATGAGTGGAGCAGGCATTTCTACCTCAGCTGGAATACCTGATTTCAGAAGTCCCGGTAAGTCCAATCTTCACATTATTACTTTATGCATGTTCATGGTTTCAAATGTTACGATAGTCTTAATTGTTAATCTATAGGAAGCGGGTTATACGATAATCTACAAAAGTACAATCTTCCTGATCCACAGGCAGTCTTCGATATATCGTTCTTCCGTAGAAATCCAGAGCCTTTTTACGACTTATGCAAACAACTCTTCCCTGAAACTTTGAATGTACGTCAAAAATTCTAATTTCCTGCTTACGAGTATTGGAGGTTACTTGCAAATTTCAGCCAACACCCTGTCACTTCTTTGTTAAGCTGCTTCATAAGAAGGGTATACTACGAAGATGGTTCACGCAGGTTAGTTGTTCTCAAGGTTCTGTTCTGCAGCTTTTGTCCTCCGTTTGTTTGCCATACTTTTTCATATTTGTACTTTTGGTTAGCGTACCATGGAGAAATCGGTTTTGTTTTCATGAAGTCGTTGTCGGCTTGACTTCGAATTGAATTTAGCTTTACATATCTAAAAATTAGTTTGGCGTTGTCTCCACCGTTGATGTTTCAGAATATCGACTCATTAGAATTTATCACTGGCGTGCCTGACGAGAAAATAGTTTGTGCTCATGGGAATCATCACACAAGCACTTGTCTCAAATGCCACAAAAAATACGATATGCAGTGGATCACAGGTAGCCATTGGAGATCTTGTCGCACATTTTCTACCCTGCATAGATTTTTAGATCGCATAAAGGATCCAGCCTGCAAAGTTCCAAAATGTGAAAAATGTGATGGTGTGGTAAAACCAGATATCGTATTTTTCGGCGAAAACTTACCGGAGCGCTTTTTCAAATGTGCTATTGAGGTGAGAAATACTGTGTCAGTTGTTGTTCGGTTAAGTAATCTCGGTTACAGGATTTCCCTAAATGTGATTTATTGTTGATTTTGGGGACGTCGCTGGTTGTACAACCTTTTGCCAGTATGGTCAATGAGGTAAGCACCAATACCGTTGATTACAATTGCAAATAAAAGTGTAGTATGCTTTTATAGGTGTCTGAAGATGTTCCCCGTTTGCTAATCAACAGGGAAGAAGCAGGTCGTGCAGGTTTGTTCGAACGCGCCATGGGCATTCAGGGATTATGCTATGGAATGAATGAAAATAAGAGGTGAGTTTGGAGATGACGAATCTCGAAATGGGTGGAAGAAATATAACAGCGTTATGTTACACATGCTATGTCAACAAAAATGCATTTCTATAGTTTCGAGGCGTGGCTGGGTTATATTATGATTTAACGAACTGGAAGAAGCGGTTATACGATAATCCATTGTAGAGTTTTGTCTGAGATTCTTGTTGTAAGAAATCACTTGCGAACTAGCTGCTAGACTCTTGTTCTTATATTAAAACGCTAAAGAAATGTTTTCTTTTTATGCCGCTTCAGAAAAGATTAGGGTCATTTGTATGGTGGGTATAAAAGACATGATGGTTGACCCACTTCATTGTACTCCTCGTTAACATGTTTGAGTCATTATCTAATGGCTTCACGGATCTGTGAAAAATCTTACAATTAGTTATCTGTCATCTCCGATGCC